GGAGTTGGATTAAGGTTCAAATCAAAATCAAAGAATGCTCAAAATAAGCCTTGACTCTACATAGGTCCCACATGTGCACATTGGGGTTAGTACTAGAAATGACTTCTGGCTCCTGGAACATCTCCTTAGTCTGACCTATCTGGACGAATGCAAACCATTTTGGTTTTGTAGAGTCTCCACTCAGGTCTCCAGACTTTCATTCAATCCCCCACCCCAATGTTTGGTTTTCTTTGGAGGATGACAATGGAGGTAACCTTTAACATAGTTATTTGCTTCTCAGCATATTATTTGAATTGAATAACATGTGAGACTATTACAGATAGTTTTTGTTCAGCAAATTTTAGAAGTACCCTAGAACAGAAATATTGATCACAAGGCATGATTTCTGACACAGGGAGCTTTCTAAAGGTCTCATTGTTCTACATCAAGGGTCAGTAAACTTTTTCTGTAAAGGACCAGAGAGTAAATACAGGATCGGGCAAAAGTAGGTTTACAGTTGTTCATATGGAAAATAATACAATAATTAATAAATGACAATAAACTCTGTGTTTCTCATATTCACAACTATAAACCTACTTTGCAAAGCCTACTCATAACTACTCAACTCTGCCACTATTGCATGAAAGTAGCCACAGGCGATACAACAAAAGGGCATGACTATGTTCCAATAAAACTTCATTTATAAAACCAGGATAGATTTGACCTGTGAGTTTCAGTTTGCCAAACCCTGCGCTAGATGACAACCAGCCAATTGTGAGGGACTGCTGACTTTTCATTTTAAACTCGATTGATCAGCCTTTCCTCTTGTCCTGATCTAGGTTAAAACTCAAGACTTGCAATGATGGGTTCCCTCTACCTCACCTCCCAGCTCTTCTCTATAAAATAAATGTAGTCAGTTTTCATTATTAACACATTACATTCATTTCTGCCTTTGCCCTTTCATTCTCATACTGTACCTATCTAAATCCTAGCTTCAATGTCAATCCTAGCTTTCAAGTCACATGTTTTCAAAGTCTATCTCAACTGCCCTCGGCCTTAATTATCATCCTTTCTTCTTATCCTTAGCAGTATTATATTAAGTGTTATATTATCACATCATCTCTTTTTCTTTTTTTAAGATTTTATTTATTTTTGGACAGAAGGGAAGGGAGGGAGAGAGGGAGAGAAACATCAATGTGTGGCTGCCCTTCATGTGCCCCTCACTGGGGACCCTGCCCACAATCTAAGCATGTGCCCTGACTGGGAATCGAACCAGCGACCCTTTGGTTCACAGGCCAGTACTCAATCTACTGAGCCACGCCAGCCAGAGCTATCACTTCATCTTTGTTCTTGCACATCATGTCTCTCCAACTACACCATAAACCCCCATGGATCTGACAATGACTTACATACATTTGTTTCCTTGTGCTTAGCTGGATGCCCTAGGCTGGATTAGGCATGGAGATGGCTGCTGATGACGATAAAATATACTGAGAGGGGTTTTTGTTTAAGGCAGTTTTGTTAGGAAACTAAAAAAAAAGTCTTAAGACAGTCTCTGGAATATTGTTTTGTATAAGACAAAAAAATTCAGGAATAAATTTGCACTTTGTGATGATTTTTAGGTTATAAATCAAAGAGTAACCAATTCTTTTTAATGTAAATAAGCATTTGCCTTACACAGTTATGATGAATGAAAACCTTCCCTTAAGAAGGTACAAGAGATTGTCCTTTTTGACTTAACACAACTGTGTAAGTACTTCTAAATATGAGGTATATTGGTATCCTAGGATATTTAAAATTAGGTTAGAGAAAATGCATAGCAGTGATCAAGTGGGTAGATGTAACTTTCAGAGAACATAGCTTTAACCAGTAAAGCTAAAAAATGCATGAGGATATTATTTATGTCAGTTCACGGGCTGCTACCTCTGCATGTGTCCCATGCACACTATGTTTACTCGTACCCTGACTTACTACCTCTGATATTGACTTTGGCCTGTTTTTTCTGTAAAAGAACTTTGGTGGTGGTGGTGGGGGTAGAGAACAGGAGGATATGGAAGGTAAAAGGGATATTCAAAGAAATTTCCCCAAGACTTAATAGTTAACTATATATACTAATATTACCTCCTTGCTGTGATAACTTTGTGATATAGTCCCTTTCAATAGTCAGTTGGTATATGGAAGGGACTTAAGACTGGTCCAGCACTAAAAAAATATATATTAAAGAACCAGTTTTATGTGAAATTTAGGATGGCATCCTAAACCCAGAATCGTCTAACTGGCATTGCTATTAACTTTCTTCTTGTCATGTCAGTCTTTGGTACTTTGAGGGTTTTTTTTTTTAATATCTATTTTTTTCATAATAGAATCAAGGATAATACTTCCTTTCCAGTACTGTTAAGGCAGTGATTCATTACAAATTACAGAACATTACTAGTGTATTAAAACCATGTAATAAGTGTCATGATCAGTTTCACCCAGGAAATTAAAACCTGGATATGGTATGTAATTAAATGACAGTGTACTCCATGAAGTACTGTGTAGTGGTTAAGGTCAGATAGCCTTGGGTTCCATGTCTGGTTCTGCTCCTAATTTGCATTGTGATCCTAAGTAATATAACCTTGCCTTCTGTAAGATAATGATAATATATATCTGACAGAATTTTGTGGGAATTGCGTGAAATATGAAGTGATTAGCACAATGGCAGTTTGCATGCATAGTAAACTCTCAATAAATGGTAACATTATTTATGTGCATAGCACCAGGTAGTGGGTGAAGATATCAGCTCTGAGGGAGCTTATTTAAAAGAGACTTAAATGTATATTTCGAATATATAAATAATTATAATAAATAGCAGTCAAGTACTAAAACGTATGAAGTACTTTGGAAATTCAGAAGGGAGAGATCACATTTTGTTGGTATCATAGAGATGGTACTTGAAATGGGTTCTAAAGATGGGATAAGAGTTTACTGGAAAGAGACTGGAGGAAGACCAAGGATATGAGTGAAAGAAGGCACCTACGTGAAGGACACCCCATAAACAAGTATATGTAGGTATACAGGCTTAGGGCAGGCAAGTTGAAAGAACAAGGAGTGATTCAGCTGGCTAATTGCTGTAGGGAAATAGAGAGAGAGAAGGCCTAAAAGTTTGGCTCTGCCAGACATTAACTGTCAGTGGGAAGTGTCTGGTCTGGATTTAGTAGGTAATGCATGGAGATTGGGGTACTGTGGAAATAAGACTGATGGGTACTACATTTTTGGTAGCTTAATTTGAAATCCATTATATAGGATGTAGTAGAATTTTTTTCAAGCATCTTTGTCAAGGACAGTTATTCTCTGGAATTCTGAAAGCCTAGAATCACATGTGACTCACCTCTTTGAACAAGGTAATCCTGCTGGTCGGGGTCACTGGTTCTGGCCCCATGACGGCTCTGCATTTCCATCAAGGACTGCCTACTGCAATGAAAAGCAACGTTCTCTGTGATGTTTTAAGATCCTTAAATGTGACAACATTAAGCACACATTCAGCAGAATGAGAGAAGAAAAAAAAGAGAGTTGAACTACAACGCCAGTGTGCATAGAAACCAGAACTTAAGACTGACTTCATTGTAAATATTGTAACTAGGACACAATGTCGTAAAAGTAAATAACACTTAAGACTTTTTAAAAAATCAGTTATGAAGTAACCAAACTGTCAACTGATAGGGGAATGGATTAGAAAAAAATTAACATATTTCTAAAGAGATACTCTGCACATATATACATCCAGTTAAAAAATCACAATGTTATATAAAGCAAGTTGCAAAACAATATTTGTAGTGATCATTTTGTAGCTTAAGCACAGAGAAATTAATATTATCTTATTTTAAGGTATTATATAAAAATATAAAACAGATGGGGATGCTACCCAAATTCCAGGCAGTATGGAGAAGGGAAGAGAGGAATATAATGAAGGATGGGGAACAAAAGACTTCAACTTCGTCTACAGCTCCTTTTTTAAAAAAAGATTTTTATTTATTTATTTATTTATTTTTAGAGAGAGGGAGAAAAACATTGATCATGCATGAGAGATACATCAGTCAATTGCCTCTCACTTGCCCCCAACGGGGGACCTGGCCTGCAACCCAGTCATGTGCCCTGACTGGAAAATGAACCAGCGACCTTTCAGTTCACAGGCCAGCGCTCAATCCATCAAGCCACACAGCCAGGACTCCTTTTTTCGTTTAATACAAATTACTTGAAGCAAATATCAATAGAAGAAATGTTAGTAGCTGTCATTTCTGAATGAGGTACATATTTGTATATATTTTAATCTCTGTGTTTTTGTATTTCTGTATCTTTCAAATGTTTTTCAAAATGAAAATTCAAAGGACAGGAGAAATTTTAGCAGTATTTTCTTTTAAGATATACAATATTATAGAATTATTTAAAAAGTTAGGACTGTGCCCTGGCTGATATGGCTTAGTGGATTCAGCGCTGGCCTGTGAACCAAAAGGTTACCAGTTCAATTCCCAGTCAGGGCACATGCCCTGGTTGTAGGGTTGTAGGCCAGGTCCCCAGTTGGGGGCATGAGAGAGGCAACCCAGTTGATATATCTCTTAAACATCAATGATTCTCTCCTCTCTTTCTCCCTCCCTTCCTCTCTGTAAAAATAAATAAAATCTTTTAAAAAATGTTAGGACTGTTTCACTGATGATAATAGCAAGATATGACTTTGAAACTCAATATCACGTTTTTACAGATAATCTACAGGCAAAGAATTTGATCGGTTTCTACAAAACACTGCCATGCCTCATGAGTCACACTAAACATATGAACCCACTCAAGAGATGTATACCCAGTGATTCTGACAGCTCAAATTAGGAACCATCTTTGACAGGTCCTAGGCTGAAATGTGTTCTAAGTCTTCCCCTCATCTTACCTGTCTCCATCTTCAAAAACATTATTGTCTTTCAGCAAAATTGCCAGCTGCAATGCAAGCTGCTCCTTTTCTTCATGAATCTTCTCTCTTGCTGCTCTTTCAGCATGAAAGTCTGAACAGTAAACCTCCATCTGTTAGAGGAAGAAAGAGACAGCAGTTACTACCCACATGATGTGGATTCTCTGCAGCTCACCTGCTGAGGTGAAGAGGCAGTGCTGCGGCCTAAATGACAAGTACATGTTCCTGCTGGAAACCAGTACAGTGTCCATGATATTCCAACTACTTTCAAGTAGAAAACACAAATTGTGTATGTGTGTGCTTTAAACAATTAGAACCCAACAATTAAACTGATACAAGTGGTTTAAATACTGTGTGGCTCAATTCAGTAAAATTCTCTGGTCTCTTTTAAAAAAATAATATTCAGAATTAGCTTAATATAGTAAATGGTTTATTTAGTCTTTCAGGTATATATATGAAGGCTGGCCTTAAGTTAAATTTAAAATAATAATGAACAGATGCTATTAAATTCTAAACATGTGCGAAGCCCTATATTGACTATCTTATTTCACCTTGTCAAAAATCCTGGGAATGTAGAATTGCTGTGCTCATTTCACATTACAAATATAATAACTCTTAATCTTGGGGAAATTAGTTAAGAAGTCACACCAACATTTGAACCCAGACTGAAACACATACATCATGGACTCTCCCTTATACCACATCACTTCCCACAGCGGTAGCCAGCCTCCAAGATGGCGCCAGTGATCCTCACCTCTCGTATTCAAAACCTCATGTGTTTGCCTCCCACAATGAGTAGGGCCAATCTCTGTAACCACTAGGATACTGTAGGAATGATGGTGTGTGGCTTCTGAGACTCGGTCGTAATAGACACTGTGGCTTCTGCCTTGTTTTCTCCTGGATCACTTGCTCTAGAGGGAGCTTGCTGCCATGTCGTGAAGCAGCCATATGGAGAGGCCCATATGGTGAGGAACAGAGGCCTCCTACCCACAGCCATATGAGTGAACCATGGAAACAGATCTTCCTTCTTGAGTGCAGCCTTATAAGAAACCCTGAGCCAGAATCACCCTACTGAGCTGCTCCTGGACTGCTGGCCCATAGAAAGTGTGTGAGATAACAAGTGCTTGTTTTAGCTGTTAAGTATGGAGAGTAATTTGTTACCTAGAAACAGATAAATATTATGCCATGACAGCAATTTCTTCAGTTATAAAATTACAAAGTAAATATAAACTTGTGCATTGAGCATTATTTTAACACTAGTTTTTAACTTGCTATATTTAAAATTATGTTTTTTCTTTTCACAGGGGTTCTAGGATATAAATTTTAATCCATTACTTTTAAAGTAAAATTAACAAGATTTTAAATATTCTATCAGAATTACAGTTACAAGAAGAAAGCATATACTAAAGAGATCTTTGTAAGGGAGCTTTTGCCATTTGCAAGCATTCCAAAATTTTATGGTATCATTGATGGATCATGGGCATTTTTGAGTCAGATCTAAACTCAGGTCAGAGCCTTGAATCTAGGTTTTGAGCCAGGAAGAACTGGATCTTTGTTTTGTCCCTTCCTGTATCCCCAACAGTGAGAACAGTGCCTGACGTACTATAGGGGCTCAAAAAGACTCCCTGAATGAACAAGAATATTTATCAAAACAAAACAAATGTCTGTGTACAGAATGTGACAGAAGTACATGACGACAGTATCATGAGGTGCCCAAACAAGGGAAATGCTATGAAGAGCTCAGGTTGAGATTCTGTTCCTGTAGCAATAACAACCCTAAGTCTATTCAACCACTTCTATATTTCACTGGGTCAGCCACTCTGGGCAGCAGGTAATGAGTATATAGGGAATCATAAACTGTTCATATTGTCATACTAAAAATAATGTTTATCAGGTTGGGAAACATTTTAAAGAATGATGCAAGCATGTGGGGAAATAGGATTGCTCATCTACTTCTGGTGAGGGAATAATTTTGATTGTGCATTTTTGGAAAATAACTTGGTAATACTTCTTTTAAAAACAGCCATACCCAATGGACCCAACCATTCCATTTGTATATTTGACTACAGATTCCACAAGTGCACAAAGACATATAAGAATGTTCAGTTCAGTATTGTTGATAATAGCAAAAATATTGGTACAATCTACATGTCCATCAATAGAGGACTGGTTAAATCTATCATGGTAATACACACTTTGTAACACTACTCCGCCATCAAAAAAAATAACATATGACTGTGAGTAGTAACAAGGCGGTATGTTCAAGATATATCATGAGTAAAAATGTTGTAGTAAAAAAAGTATATTGTGATCCCATTTTAATTAAGCAAACGAATAAGCAAAATAAAAAAACAAGAAACTTATACATTTACCAAAATGAAACTGGGGGAAGTTGGATTTCCACTCTCTACTTTATACACTTCTCTATAGTCTAAAAATTCTATTTTATAATGAGTAGTAGTATTCATGTAATTCAAAAATAAAATTATTTTAGTATCTAATCATCCTAAAACCACCTCTGAGATTCCAGTTATTTAGGAAGAAAGAAAGGTTCCCCCCTTTTTTGGGATTTTTAAATCTCAGGCAGGATGTATTCTCACTCATAAACTCTTCTTCAAGTCCTCCACCCACCAGTAACCAGAGTAGGCCAAAACAGTCACAACAAGCCAACTGTACACAAATTTTTCCAGAGAACAGTAAAAGAAGAAATGTATCTTGATTTTATGAAGCCAACATAACCCTAATATCTAAACTTGACAAGTATATTAGCAAAAGAAAAACTCTAGGCCAATCTTACTTTAAAATATAGGTTAAAAAATCCTAAGTAAAATAGGAACAAACCAAATTTGGGAATATATACAGAGGGTAATTTAAAAAATGCAGTTTGTTTAATATTTAAGAAATCAATGTAACTTACCACACTAGATTAAAGGAGGAAAAGTATATAATTACCTAATTATATCATTATATAAAGAAAAGAATTTTTCTTAAATAAAATTCAACATTCACTCTAAAACTTTTTGGCAAACAAGGATAGAAGGAAATTTTGTTTGTCTGGTAAGTGATATCTACAAAAAGCCTATAGTAAACATCACACGCTTAATAGTGAAATGTTGAACGCACAGCCTCTGAGACTGGGAGCAAAGCGAGACTGTCTGCCATCCTCACGATTATATAACATTATACTGGGGTCCCAGCCAGTGCAATAAGGCAAGAAAAAGAAAAAGCAAAAAGATTGGAAAGGGGGGAAAAACAATCTGCCATTATTCAAATGATATAATTAATGTACAAAGTCCAAAAAAATTCAGAAAAAATTAGAATTAAAATGTGAGTTGAGCAAGTTTATCGCATATAAAGTCAATATATGAAAATCAATTGTACTGAATTATTTCTATATAACAGCAATCCTTAGAAAATGAAGTTTTTAAGACATGCTATCTATAATAGTACCATTAAAATGTAAAATATCTAGGAATAATCTAATAAAAGAACAAAATCTCTACTAAAAGATTAAAAATGTTACTGAGTTTAATTGAAGAGGATAAGCCATATTCATGGCCTGGAAGAGTCAGTGTTGTAAAGATGTCAGTTATCTCCAAATTGATCTATATTTAATATAATTCCAATCAAAATCCCAGTAAGCTTTTCTTTATGTGGAAAATCTCAAGTGGTTTTTAAAATTTTTATGAAAATGAAAAAGGGAAGGAAAACCTAAAGTCCTCTCGACGAATGCCAATGAGGCAGGAAGACTTATTCTACCAGAATTCAACACTTTTGATGCTTTATAATAAGTCAAGACAATACGGTACCAGAGCAAAGACATATAAATGGCCCTGTGGAATATTATAGAGTCCAGAAATAGACCCATGGGTACACGGACACAATATATGACAAAGAGGGCAGCAGAGTACTTACAAAAAGATGCCCTTTTTAATGAATAGTGCCAAGTCAACAGAATATTCATATAGGAAAAAAAAATTATCTTTACCCTTATCTCCACACGGAAAAGCTAATTCTATGTGGTTTCTAGATCTTAATGTAAAAGGCAGAACAATAAAACTTTTAGAAGATAATATAGAGGAATAATCTTTATGGCCTTGAGGTAGTAAGTTTTTTAAACAGGCCACAAAACTATTAATCATAAATGAAAAAAACTGATAAATTGAACTATAGTAACAAATTTGTTCATCAAAAGACACCATTATAAGAGTGAAAAAGCAAATCACAGAGTGAAAAAACTTGCAATGAATATAAAAATTAAGGAAAAACCAACAAACCAGGAGAAAAATGGACAAGGACCTGATCGGGCACGTCACAAAAGGGGATACCTGGATGGCCAGTAAACATTTGAAAATGCACTCAATCTTATTAGCCATCAAGGAAATGAAAATTAAGTGAGACATCACTGTATATCCACTAGAATGCTTAAAGGTAAAACTGATAATACCAGTATGAATACTGATAATACAGTGGGAATGCTCTGTTGATGGGAGCAAAAACTGGTACAACCACTGTGGAAAACTGTTTGACATTATCTATTAAAACTCAGTAGATGCATACTTTATGAATCCACAATTCCACTCCTAGGTGTATACCCAACAGAAATGAATGCACAGGTGAACAAAGAGACATGCACACAAGTGTCACAGTAACATTAATCACAATGCTGCAAGCTGGAAGTAATCCAACTCTCAGATGTAGAATGGTAACTTCATTGAGCTATATGCACTTAAAGGATTGGTGCACTTTCCACGTGATATCAGAAATTTTAAAAAACAGCCCTGGCTGGCATAGCTTAGTGGATTGAGTGCGGGCTGCAAACCAAAGCATCGCAGGTTTGATTCCCAGTTAGGGCACATGCCTGGGTTGCAGGCCACGGCCCCCAGCAACCACACATTGATGTTTCTCTCTGTTTCTCTTTCTCTCTCCCTCTCCCTCTCCCTCTCCCTCTCCCTCTCCCTCTCCCTCTCTCTCTCTCTCTCTCTCCCCCCCCTCCCTTCCCTCCCTAAAAAATAAATAAATAAAATCTTTTTTAAAAAGTTCATCACAATAAAACTTTATAAAAATTTTTTTTAAAAAACATATTGATGGAAATAATATGAAATCAAAAACATTTTAAACACCATTGCTTTCTCACTTGAGAATATAAGTAGGGTTGGCTTCACTCAGCTCAGGTTTCAAAAAGTACCTGCGCCCTAAGAACTGTCATGGTTTCCAGGTCCTCCTCCTGCTTGGCAATGGTCTGCTTCATCTCATCCATCTGAAGCTGCTTGGAAGCCAGCGCCTTCTCTGCCAGTTCCAGTTTTTCATTTAGTTCCTGCAGCACCACCTTATCCACTTTTTCTGAC